ACCCTGAGCAGGCGCTGCATAATGCCTTTTCCAAGGAAGGTGCCCTTATAAGGGCCCTATCAAGCCACAACATTCCGACCCAAACGCCCGCCCGCCCACAAATGGACGACCGTTCCTGACGCTCTAATCGATTCATTTGCTAAGCAAATTATGAAGCGAAGGGATTGGTATGAAGCGGCCGTGATGCTGCATGGATATATGAGTACACATATGCAGCCGTACCTTCGGTAGCGGTTATTGGCAAGATGCCTACGGGAAACTCGTCCAAAATTGATTTTTAACACATTGAGAACGGAGGCTCTTTCTTCGCAGGATTTTGACCGTTTCACTCCGTTCTTTCGCCATTTCCCCACTATATAGCGCCCTACTAGCATTTTAGGCCGAGCACCAAATCATCGTGCCAACTGCCTTTAACAACCACTGAACGACAACAACCGTAACCTGCCCAAGAACTACATACAGCAGCCAACCCAAAAGCTAATGGGAGTTGGACACACGTCTGCGAGGAAAACGTACATTCCGTTGGAAAGATGACACTTGATCAGCGACGAAAACTCCATACAGCACTTCGTCTCCTTCGCTGAAATTCAACAAAGAAAAATCTAAAAATTTCATGAAAAGTCAATATCATACGTGAATAAATAGGTGATAAAAATAGTGAAAACCTGCGATAATCACGAAAAATAATCAATAACCCAAGGTGAAAGATAATAATCATGACAAACTCAAAAAGAGGTAAATGAATCTTTGAAAGAAGGTGCCAAAAACAGAAAGAAGGTGAAGTCAGAGAACTGGAAATCGGTGAACAATAAAAACACTCCGTAGCACTCCGAGACATCGAACACGTATCAATTAAAATGGTAATTTTACAGAAAATACCAAAAATCCAAAGGGTCAAAATCTCCTTAGCACTCCAAGAGGCTATGCCGAACCAACCTTATTCCCAACGACTTGGCAAGATTATACCCGGCTGTCGCCACGTACACATCTTGCACCAGATTATAGTCCGTATCGTCTTTCATACATTCCAACATCACCTACAAAAGCAAAAATGAAAAATTCCCC